GTCTCAAAAGCTGAAAGCAAGTAATAGAACAGAAATGATTGTTCTAGAAAGGATTTCTATGGCTTGAGTGCAATTAGGAAATTTTAAAAACAGAAAGGTATTGGGAATTAACAATGAGTGATCTGGTGCCTGTAGTGACTGGCAGAAGGTGAGAGTGACCTTGTCTCCCTTGTGCGCGCAGGTGGAGTTCCCGGAAGCCCGCATTTACGAGGAGACACTGAACATTCTGCTGTATGAGTCCCAGGACGGGAGGGGACCTGACAACGCGCTCTTGGAAGCCACAGGAGGGGCAGCTGGCCGCTCCCATCACTTAGAGGAAGACGAGGAGCGAGAGCGCATTGAACGCGTGCGAAGAATTCACATTAAACGGCCGGATGACAGAGCCCATCTGCATCAGTGAGCTGAGCGACCTCCGCGGACTGCGCAGCTCTGTCTGGGAGGTGCTGCCCTTCGTCCGATTGATATCTGCAGCAGACGACCAGGCGGTTCAACTTCTGTCCAGTAAAGTCTGTAAATTACATTTTGTAACAAACTAGATTATTTGGGGTATTTAAATGCAGTAGTTCTAGGACAAGAATAAATAAGGTTGCAGGGCATACGATAGATACTGTAAGGACCTATTGAGGATCTGGTGAAATGCCCTGAGTTTTTAGCACTCTTTTCTTTGCTGTTTTGTGGCTGGAGAGGAAGAGGGCTGTCTTCCTTTGGCTTTAGTAGTTATCCTGCACTTTAAAAAAACCAAAACAAACAAACAAAGGTCAGTCAGCCCTATACCTTCCCTCCAGGCACTCACCCACCCTGTCTCCTCCTGGGCCATCAGGCATGGGAGAAATGCAGCGATGTGAACACACCGGAGCTGCAGCAGCGCTCCCTTTCTCCCAGGCCTGCAGGCAACGGGGTTGATGGGGTTGGTAGCTCAGGAGTGCCTCAGCCTGACTCCCAGGAGGACAAATGACACGTGCTGACTCGATTCCTGTAGTGCTGGGGGGCAGAGGGAGCCGGGTGGCTGGCTGGGGGACCTGCTGCTCGAAGGGTTCGGTGGAGCTTCAGCAGCACTGAACTGTGGAGACCCCTCCGAAAGGAAAACCAGGAGCAAATTCTGTGTGATTGCTTTTCCTCAGGGTGGTGTTGCTACCAGTTAGCGCTTAGAACTTCTGCCTGACCCCGGGTCTCAGCTGGGGAGTTTGTTTCCAGCGGATCGCAGGTCAGTAAGCTGAGCTTTCTTTACTGCAGGTAAAGCCGGCGTCATCGCAGGCTCAACCACCCCGTGCCAGCCTAGCCTAGGGAGGGGGCCAGCAGCGGTAGCTCAGCTCCGTAACCGATACAGGAGCATTGTCGTGCTTTGAGCGAGGGCGACATGAGTACCCTGAGGAAGAGGAGTAGGCAGTGGCCCAGAGGCAGTTATTCCTTGTTTGACTTTATCCTGAGCATATTCCAAGTCTTTTCAGAGATGGCAGCTGTGTGTGAAAGGGCAGAGCTAAAATGGTGTGGAGAGAAGACTGCTGTAGTCTAGCTTTCTAAGAGTACTTTTCTAGTATAAATATTTTATCTACCTCTGCGTCTCTTGTTGCCTATTATGGAGTCGAGTAACAATTCTAGGGGAAGATCGTGTGTTATTAAAGGATGCTAAAGGATGATGAGCAGCGCCATGGCTGTAACAGTTAATGTACAGACCTTGAAAAGGAGAGAAACCCAGTGTAGGAAGTTCCAAACTTGCAACCAGGCTGGCACCTTGGCAGACACCAGAGGATTTTGGTCTATTCTAGAGGTTTTTTGACCCTTCATCTAGAATATCTAGTTCTGACCAGATATCTCATGTTACTCGGTGAGGTGGTTATTTGCTTCTGCCCCACTTCCTGCTGTATGGATTCCTCCTCCTGGCTCAGGGCTGTTAATGACACGTTAGCATTTTAAAAACCAAAGGTGTTGTCAGCATCACCAGCTCCCTTACTCCAGTGCTTCTGTTTCAAGTAGCAGTTACATCCCCAACTCTGTCTAGCTTGGCTGTAGAGGGTAAAATAAAATATCAAGTGTTTGCTCAGTGGTACAATTTTGGATCATCAAGTAAAGCTAGAAAGATTGCAAAGTTAGGTTGAGGTCATCTTTCTAGTAACCAAAGACTTTCCTGAGTTACAGGCAGCTGGTGCCTGTGCCTGATGGGGTTGGTACCCTCTGCTCTTTCTTCATCAGCTGCTGATTTCTTAGCAGGAGCTCAGCAGTGCAGAGATGCACCAGGTATACTGTAGCTTCAGCTGTAGCCAACACGTGTCTGCAACACGCTGTGGCTTTGCAGAAGTCCATAGTGCAGATTGTTGTTGTGAAGAACCCGGTGCCCCTCCCTTCCTTGTGTGATAAGCTGGGGAATATGGAAGGAAAGTCCTCCGAAGCGCTGTTTGCCCAGCACTGTGTACTTTGACACTCCCTGGTGTGTTCCTGGGCTGTTCATGGGTCTCTGGACACCTCTAAGAGACCTGCTGCCCTCGAAGGGGTCTAGACTCAGCACTCCGTGAAGCCATTCCATTTGTGTAACGCCCATGTCTCCGCCATCAGTGGGCAAAAAGGAAACACCAGCCCATGGCTGTAAATAAGCCGATAGTCCTGCAGCAAACCCCGCTCGCTTCATCAACGCCAGAGAGCTGGCTCTCTCCCGCGAGGTCAGAATGACCGGCCCTCTTCCTCCTCAGCTGTGCTGAACAAAAACCAGACAGTGCAGGGGAGACTCCAGCACCCAGCCCTGGCTGCTCAAACAAAATCCGGTCACATCCTGGGGTGCGAGAGCAGGTTCAGCCCCAGGAAGTGATGCGTTGACACCAGTGCTAAGCACCTGACAGATCACGGCTCTGTGATTAACTTCTCTGTAAATAGATTCTTAACTGGCTTCAGGATTTCCTCTTGCAGGTTTTGCAAACTAAGTTCTTAAAAAAACCCAGGGGATGATTGTTTTTAACCTTTGTACAGGGGTTTAGATAGCTCTATAGTCACTCCAGGAGAGTTGGAGTAAGTTTCAGTTTTGTTGCTGCATTTATGGGCAGGCTCTGCCTTAACACACTCCTGACTTAACCCTCTGCGTGCTGTCGTGTGTAGTAAAGATGTGCTGCTGTCGTGTTAGAATGTCCTTTACCTACCAGCCACTTGTCCTCGGTCTTAGTTAATGCCACTGCACCAGTGCTCTCAGCTCTTGAGCCTTTTTGCTGGTTTTGCCTCTGCAGGGTCCAGGGGAGGATGGGGGACAGGGCAGCTGTCCTGGGCACAAGCAGCTCTTTAGATTATCGAGTCCTGCCTCGTCCAGACAGGGAGTGCAGAGCTGTTTGCTTTGATTCTCCAGCCCCCCCAACAGCCACTGACCGAGCTGGCTGACATCTTCCTTGTGGAGGGGATTTTGTCCATCAGTATAATGCAGGAAAGCTGGGCTACAGTCTGCACTTGGAACACCGTTGAGGCAAGAGTGACCACCAGCCACTGGCGTAAAGCTTGTTGCCAGGGTGTTTGCACCAAAGCAGCTGCTCCGGTGTTTCCATGAGGCTGATTTTGGATCCCACCCACCCTCAGCTCCACCTGCTGCAGGACAGCACTGGGTCAGAGCCCTTGGAGAAGGCTCCGAGGCTCAGTCTTACCTTAGGACGAAGGGTAGGTAGAACCTTTCAGTCTTACGGAGTTGTTCTGTTTCCTGGACAATAGCAGCACGTTCATCCATTCTGTACAATCATTCCCTCCCACTTTATACTTATGCACAAAAAAAAGCTTAAGCTGGATTTCAATGTATGGTTGATGTTTGCAATATGTACTTTTTTAAAAAATATAACTCAATAAATTAGAAGATATTTCATATTTACATGCGAGTCGCTTTATTACTTGTTTGAAGCATGCTGTCCTCATGGTCCGCGGAGCTGGAAGGAACTTTCAGGAAGAAATACCAGATATCGTCCTCCCCCTGGGCTGTGGCTTTCGGGACTCTGCAGACCCCGGGATTTAAAGTCGGGGATCTTCAGGCTGTAGTTTCAAGCCTAGCCAAAGCAAGCTGGAGCAGGAACTTGCCTCAACCTGAGGAAGCAGTATGAGCAGAGACCGGCAGTACAGCTGGAGGGAACAGAGGGAATCCCATCTTACCCCCCTCCCCTCGTAGTTGCCCCATACACCTCGGGAACAGCGATGCCCACCACAACCCTGCGTGAGCAGTCTCTCAGCTCTGGGGACAGAGATGAAGGTTCTCCAGCAGCAGGAGACTGGTTTCTTCTGCAGGGGATTGCACCCAGCCAGCACCTCCCTCGTTAAGAGGAGGCACTTTGGGCATCTCTGAGGGTTTTGCTCCCACAGCACCGCACACAGCTGCTGCGCAGGGGGAGCCAGGACAGTGTCAGTCTAAAAGCAAAGATCTTCCTGCACGTCAGGGGAGAGGAGAAAGCAGCTTACTGCGATTCCCCAGTGAGCAGCTTCACGTGGTGATGCACCAGCAAAAACCGTCAGCACCAGCCCTGCTGCTCCATTAAACCATCTCTCCCCCTGCCAAAGGACGAGCTGCTGGTTTTACAGGCTGGGCCGGTCTGCCTGAGAGAAAAGGTGTTTTCAGACCAGAGTTAATGTCATTGATCTGCACTTGATGCAGTTCTCCTGGGGAGCTGTGGCTCAGAGCACAGCTAGAGGAGCCTTTCTGCTTCTTTCTGAACCTTTCCTGGCTGGTCCGAGCTCTTGGCTCTTGCTGAGTGCACAGAGACAGACATCCTCCACCTGGAACTGCAGCTTCTGGTTTAAACATTTCCCTGTGACTGTGCAGCGAGCATCTCTGCTCACTGGAATGTCACAGCAGCAGAATGGGGTTTATTTAGCTATACTTGAGTAGTTTTAAGCTATAAAAAAAGAGCCTGAAAGATGCAAGCAAACTCTCAAATCACAGCAGCCCTATGGCATCAGAGATTGCAGGGGAGAGGTGAGTGCTGCTCTCATCCCCCAGGTTCCAGCTGCTCTTAGCCGAGGCAGGGACCAGGAACAGCGACTGTTTCTCATCAAGACTTTGCCTGGGTTGACACCTGGGATGAGGAAAGGAAGGAGGCATTAAATCAGGTACAAATGTTCTGTCCGTGAGAGGTCCTGCCTGGGGGAAGAGAGGTAGGGTTATTTCTGTTTAACCATTGCCAGCCGTATTCCCGAGCTCGGGTGGAGCCTTACCACTGTTAGCTGTCCAGTTTTGGCTTTAAACACCTGAGGCTCCTGCCCGACAGTAAACACCATCGTCCCTTCCTTCCCGGAGCCGATGCGGAACTGCAGGCTGCAAACACAGACAGAATCACTCCTGAGGTGCTTTCCTCGCAATAGGCTTTGCTCTAAGCCCCCTTTATTTCTGTTCCCTTGGCAGATCTCGTTAGATAACAAGATCAGAGCCCTGCAGCTTAGGTAAATTTCCTAAACAATTGCATTATACCACAGGAGCCAGAAGGGTTTGATGAATGGAGCTTGCCTGCCTGGTCCGGGCATTTAAATTTTCCTGGTGCAATTAAGCCCTGGAAGCTGAGCAGATCTGACCTGCAGAAAACCACCCAACACGCAGAATCTAATTACCACCCAAACGCAAAGGCCAGAGAGGAGCTGGAGCAGCAGCACAGGTTTCATATGCCAGCTTCAATTCACACAGAGATTTGAGAGATGGACTGCATCCCCCTGCCATTAGCTCGGCGGCGTGACCGAGAAGGGTCTGCGCTCAGCAATCCCGTTTGGGAGCCTGCTCAGCCCTCGAGGGGGAGCGGTGTTTATCCCGCGGTGACCCAGCTCAGCCCAGCCGGCTTGCCGCAGAGCTGCTGCTAATGGGATCTGCTGGGAAACCACTAAACCCACGGCCTCACGCCCGGGTCACACCAGCAGACGCCTGAAAAAAGTGTTTTTAAGTCCAGTCACCTAGAAACAAGTTTGGGTTTTAGGCAGATGGGTCTTGGGCAGCTCTGAGAGCAGCACACCCGGCAAGGTGCAACCACAGCCAGCAGGGAAGCGGCTTCGTTAGCGTGGGAAATGGGCTGTGATGGTTTTTAATACATTATTTTGCTGCAGTGCGTCCCATCTTGTCTCCCCTGGCTTGCCCTACGAAAGGAAGCTGTGCAGCTGCCCGTCAGACCTCAGCAGCTCCGGGCACTGTCTGCTGGCAAGAGCTTTGACCGAGGTAGTCCAAGCCGAAAAGTTTTGGAAGTGAGTTCTTCTCTAGTTACCCATTCGCTCCCTTCCTCACCTCCCCTGCACAACTTTGACGAGGTTTTGCTTGTTGGCCAGCATGCAGAGCTTAGTGACGGTCTCAAAGACGTGCTCACACTGAAGGATCACATCCCCCTGCAAACAAACAAGAGGCGTAAAGTCAGCTGTCTGCAAGGGCGGCTTGCTGAGCATCCTTTCCAGGGACTAGCGGGGATTTAGAGTGACTTTGACTGCTGTGGTGGGGAAAAAAAAGAAAAAGAAAAAAAGAAAAAACTAAAAGAAAAAGGGAAGTGAAAGCTTTCATGGTGAGACAGCAAGAACAGGAAGGTCCAGCTGATGACAGAACTGTGTGATCCTCAGATTTCATAGGAAAATAGGAGCAGTGTCGGCTGCCAGCCCGCGCTCACAGCAGCTGCGTGACGATTCTCTACCTTCTGTTTGTTGTCCTCGGGAACGTGAATGACCACAATGCCATCGCTCAGGTTACTGGTGGAAATACCTTCAAAAGAAACCCAAGAATTAGAGGGCAAACCCACCAAAGACAGTTCCACCCCATCGCTTTAACCACCTCTGAACGCCCAGGTTGCAGAGGTTCCCCTTCCCCAGCTCACCGGCAGACAGGGGATTCCCACGCCACTCCCACCATTACCTTTCAGGGTGGCGTAGTCGATTTTCTGCTTGATCTTGGCCATTTCCACCACGTACGCCGAGGACTGGGTCAGGACGAGGAGCCGCTCTCTTGCTTTGAAGCCGTTCCTGTCGTATTTCACCACGGGGGTCACGTACTGCCAATGACAAGGGGGGGGGTCACCGTTCTGAGGAGCAGCACCGCACCGGGGACCTGCGGGTCCCAGCGCACGCAGCCGCTGCCACCCTCCGCTCAGAGCGATCCGGTTTCTTTCCGCTGGGAAATGCAGCCGTCAGAGCCACGCTTCGGGAAACTGTGCCCCCAGGGGAGTGCAGAGCGCACCCCTGCCCTCCTGCAGCCCTGCACAGGGCTAGCGATGCTTCGGAAGCTTTTAATAGAAGCAATCTTACATCATTTTTTTCCAGGTGCATTTTAAGAGCTGTTTAACTTAAAAGCAAGGAAGCACTTGATACGCTGCTGTTGCTCAGGCTGCCTGGCCACCCGGATGTGTCACCGACCGCCCCGGCTGCGTGACCGACCAGCTCCAGGCTCTCCTCCCCTTACCTTGATCTTCTCGCCCTGGATGAGCTGCAGCACCTTGGGGTTGATGTCAGTCTCTTCTGAGGAGCAAAGCAGAAAGATAAACTGAGTCCGGGGGACAGACGGCCGCCGCTCCCACCAGCAGAATCAGAGAGCTGTGTTGATTGCCTTCAGCCCTCCCAGCACAGAGGGAGGGTCCCCACCCCTCCCAGCCCACCGGGAATTTTCCCTTGGGTTTCTGGCTCTGTGCCCCAAGAGGGGTTAGGGGCACCCCCGGGCTGAGAGCAAAGCCTGGCAGGTCGATCCCCACGCGCAATGGCACCAGAGGTGACAGGGCAAGACGTGACGCTGCCTCTGGCCGATGGGGGTTTCTCTTGGAAGCTGAGTCTGTTTGGTCAAACGGGGTTTTCCCGAGCAGGGAGCAGGTGGCCGCATCCTCGGGGGGTTTGGTGGGTACTCGGGCTGGGTGATGCTCTGCGGGTAGCCCTCCTTCTTCCCTCGGAAAACCGCGCTCGTCACCACTTTTTGCTGTAACTGTTTAAGAAGGAAGAGCCTTTACCCTCCGGGAGGTTCCCCGTCAGGAGCAGCAGCAGGGGTAACACAGGCATCGGTACTGCACAGCATCATCCCTCGCTCCTGCAGTATTGCCTGACTCACGCTGCATTTCCTCCAACACCTTTAGGTTATTCCTGCATTACACCAACTACAGGGGCAGCAGGGAATACACAGTCCCAGGGATCGTATTTATGGGTCTATCCTAATTCTAAGAAGTGCAGCTTTAACGGCATAAGGACCACTGCACAGCACCCTGCCAGGGCCGCTGGGGAACACCCGGCTCCAGGCTCGGGGCCGTTTGCTCAGCAGAAGGAGCAGAGGTGCAGCAGAAGGCGCAGCCCATGTTTCAGCCAGTTCACAGAGCAGATCTCACAGCTGCACGGGGTGTTTGAACTCTCACATTCACACCCCACCTACTGGTTACCTGCGCTTTCCTCTCTGCAGTAACACCTCGGCAGTATTTCCTCACCAGGTTCCTAACGCAGATTTTCTGCAGCATCTCAGATGTCTACGTTAAAAAGAAAAAAAGGGAAAAAAAAAAATTAAAAAACCCAGCTAGCAAAGCTGTGCAAACAGCTCCTGCTGCAGCCCTGGTGCAAGCTGGTTTTAACGTCAGCCACAGCCCCACGGGGGCTCCCCCAGCCCAGAGCCCCACCACAGAAGATCTTTGCTGCCAGCAAGGGGTTAATGCCCAGCAGCAGCTGAAGGATGCAGAACACCAGCAGCTGAGTCCTCAGGAGAGTTCCTGAAAGCAGCAAACCCCCTCCAACACCTGGGGAGGATGCTGCGGCACCCGCACCGCGCAGGAGGTGTGCCCTCAGCCCTGCTCCGCACCTCGCCTGCCACCGGAGCTTTCTCCCTTCCCAGTCCTCACCCAGCACTGGGGGGCTCTGCTCTGGTCCCCAGCCAGCCCAAAGGGGCCGTGACACGTGTCAGCAGTTCTTTCTAAACCAGAGTTCTGCTGGAAGCAATTCAATTTATCTAATTCACGCTCCAAGGTTACCTGCCCAGCCCAAGTCCAGACAAGATGAACGGCTGCAGGTCTGCCTGTGCTGCACCCTTAAGACATCGCGGGATTAATTTGGTCGTTAATAGAGCTCATGAGTTCGCTTTTATCAGTGCAACCTCCTTTCTATTGCTTAGAGCAACGGCACGGAGCTCCCTCCTCTCCCTTGCACACCAGTGCCATTCCCCCTGCTCCCATCCTCCCCCAGTCCAGGGGGGCTCGGGGTCCCCCGAAGGCTCTGCCGCCCTGCCCGGACAGAGGAAAAGCCAGCAGGAGACCACGTGCAGGCAGGTGACCGCAGGGTAGAAGCCACCGTCCCCGCTCCCGCAGCCCTCACCTCCCCCAGGATGGAGGGGGGCTGCAGCCAGCTCTTGTCCAGGACGGTTTTTGGAAGGTGGTCTCGGAGCTTCATCAGGTAGTTGTACTGCACGAGCCGCACAAATTCGACGTTCTCCGGGCAAAGGGGCTTCTTCCGATTGATGAAGCCATTTATGAACCTACAGAAAACACCCGAAGCAGGACCTAGATGTTACATTCAGAACCAATGGAAACAGAAGGCAGGTGACAGGAGGCACACAAAAAAATACCATCACCTGGGTTACAGGAATGGAAATCTTAAGGTTGGTAATATTCCAAACATTAACTTTTTTATTATTATTATTTTCCAGGTTTTCCTGACCAAAACACCATGCTTTGGAGTTAAGGAGGAGGATCAGCACTGCTTCTGGTGCAGCGTTCAGGAGCTGGGCTTAAGGGAGTGGCGAGGGAGGACCATCGCGACGAGAAGGGACACGCACGCAGAGGACTGGTTTGGAGACCCTCTGCACCAGTATCAACCAGCAGAGCAACAGAAATTTGTGCAAGTCAGAAAAATCAGGACGAGGCAACAGGCATTTCTGATCAACCCTGCCTGGCAGCTTTCCTCCTGCCATGAGAGCTCAGCAATGCGTGCCGAGGAGATGCTCTGGCTCGCTGCAATGTCAGTGCTCTGGATCCATTGTCCAGAGACCATCCCCAGCCCGTGACCCCCCCGGACCCCTCCCCGCGCCCACCCCGCAGCGATAGTTACTTCCTGATGATCTGAACCGCCCACGTCCTCTTCTTGGCCTCCTTCCGCGCCAGTGCTCCTCGCCAACATGCCTCCAGCTTGATCGCTGCACGAATCAACCAGGATCTGGTGTTATTATTAGAGGTCCTGCGCCATACTACCCTTTACATCCCCGCAGCAGGGGTTATAACCGGCTCTACTGCAGCTCTTCCCATCAGCTGAGCTTTAGCGTAAGAAGTTTTGAACGTGTTCTTCTCCGTAATAACTGACCCTACCTGCTGGGTGCAGAGCTCAGCATCAAGGCGAGGATGCTCTGCACCCAGCGAGCAGCTCATCTCAGAGCGCTGGCCCCTGAGCCTGCAGCATCCTTTACCCGCCTGTCCTCCCTGGTGAGAGGGTTTGTTTCCCCAGCAGTCAATGAGCCATTCCCTCGTTCCCCCAGAACATCCCCCGGGCACCGCAGAGGGTGCTGCGGCCGCACAGCGCTGCTCCCGCGGCTGAGCCCGGCTGGCACACGGTGCGAGGAGCTAAACAGAACCCAGGGGACCCCTGTGAATGCTCTTCCTACGGCTGGCACCCCCATCTGGCCCCAGGGCCCACCGCCCTGAGGGGTAGCTGCGATTTTTATCCGATTCGTGACCTGCCGAAGCTGGAAAGTGCTGCCCTGAGAGGAGAATCCCCCATTTCAGAGCCCATACCTGCTTCTCTCTTCTTCTTGTACGCTCTCTTCCCAAGGCATCCTTTATATTTAGCCTGTAGTCTTGAAACTGTAAAGAAAAAAAAAAAAGAGAGACAAAGGAAAAGATGTTGCTCATGTCTGCAGGCTCACAGCATTCAGGACCTGTGCTCCTAAAGGCACAGAAGGATCCACCCCAACACCAATGGGACCACAAGCAGCCTGTGCTGGTTATCATGCCCTCGGGCAGCCCCTCGCAGTCCAGCGGGAACACCGGGGTGAGACGGGCCATCCCCTAGTCCCACGGGAGAGGCACTCTGTGCCCATGGACACGGGCCAGCAGCGACTGGTGGGACCGAGGAGACAGAGATATTGAGCTCCAGGAGCATCCCGGACTCAAGCAATACAGCTAGCGGCTTCTCCCCACCCTGGATCAAGGCTACCAAGTTTTCCTGGGGCTCTCCAGAGCCCTGCAGACCAGCGGTCCCGGCTCTCACCACAGTGCATCTGCCGCAGGAGCCGGGGAGCACCGCTCGCCCCTCGCTTAGGCTGGGGATGGACAAAGGGAGCTGCAGCCATACCTAGCAGGTGCTTTCTGATTTCAAACGCGTCTTCAGTTGCAAACAGCGTCTTTGGGAACCGAATGAATATTTTGGTTCTGAAAAAGAGACCGTGAACAGCTTATTCACAGCGAGGCAGTGTTTCAGCTGCCCTGATCAGGCTCGGAGCCCTCCCACCAGCCCCAATGGTGACAAGTTCCACCGCCGTCCACAGCCACCCTTCATTTGTCTGGCTGGGACACCCTGGAAAAGCACAAAGGGCTTGGCAAAGGGAGGCTGGGAGAGGGGAGGGAGCGAAGCACCGGTTACTGCGCAGGGTCCCGGTGCCCTGGCTGGCGCAGGGTGCAGAGCTCTGCCTTCGCACCACCTGTAACTCTCAACACTGAGATCCCTGCAAGCTTCCCAGGAGCTGCGGAGGTCAGGAAAAGCAGCTGAAACTCAATAAAAACCAGTTTCCTTGTCTTAGCTACTATCCTAGAGATGAATTCATGGATTCTGGTGGCCACAGGTTGAAGGTGACGTTAGGGAGCCCAGCCTTGCCCTTGTCTTTGGCAGGGAGGACACGTGGTGGTTCAGGAGTGGTTGCAAAAGGCAGTTAAACAAGAACCCAAACCCAGGACGGGCAGGTTGCCTCGGGCTGCCTGAGCAGGCGGGGAGCCTGGGGCTGAAGCAAAGCAGCTCATCCCCCCTAACCCCGAAGAAACCAGGCTGGGTTCAAGCTGGGTGGAAATTCAGAGGAACGTTATGCATCTGGGATTTCTATTTATCCCGTTGCCCCGTGCATGGGATGGGGCCCCACGGTGACCTGCAGTCACACCCAGGACAGAGGGTCACACACGGCCAGCACCGTGCAGCTGAGCAGCAGGGAAAGGACACGTACCTTCCCAGTTTGTATTCCTCAGGCTTGTACCCAAGGTGCTTGATGAGCCTCTCCACGCCCGCAGCCGCTGGCCCGTGCCAGTGTGGCCAGGTCGCCGGGCAGAGGGATTTGTACCTGAAAGAGCAGCAAGACACCAACATAAATGGCTTTGTTTGAGGAACGCCTTCCTGAGACCCTCCCCTACAAATCCCTCTGGCTTTACTGAAGGCAGAAGATGCCAAAGCAGATCAGAATGGATACAGCCAAAGAAACCCATCTGCTGACACCTCCACGTCCTCTGTCACTGGGACCTGACGTTTAACCCAACTCTCCTCCGAAGTGGGAGGGCAGGTCTACCCGGCTGGAGGTCAGGACAGCCCCGTGTACCTTTGCAAGAAGAGTTCGTACTTCCGCCGGTACGCGAAACCCGCTCGCCTCACCCGCAGGTGCTCCATCAGGCCCAGGTACTTCACCTGGTGCCGGATCAGAAAATCGTCAAACTTCCCTGGAGGAGAAGACACGTGTTCACTGGCAGACAAGCTCACTCCCTTCTCCATGGGTTGGGACAGAAGGATGGAGTCAAATCCATCACCCAAGGTGATGGCTTTGCTGCTAGCTTAACTAAGATATATATATATTTTTTAATTTAATA